CCGCCTCGCCCGTCGGCTCGGCCGCTCCCTCCGCGCTCTCCGCGAACTGCACGTTGCCCAGCAGCAGCACGGCGCCCAGCACGCGCACCACGTCCAGGAACGGGATGCCGAGGATGCCGAGGCAGGTCTTCCACGCGTGGAACCGCGCCGCGTCCTCGGGATCGGGCCGCCGGTGATGCGGTGACGCCAAGTACCTGTCGGCCGGTACGGTAGCGACGTTTGTCCTGCGCGTGACAGCGTCGTGTCCGGAATCGGAGCTCACCTGAGGTCTTGCGGCGAATATCCGTCGAGGTGGAGCTGCGCGCGCTCCTCGGAGGTGAGTCCGGCCAGCAGCTGGTAGAAGATGTGGTAGTTGCGCTCGCCGGGCGGCGGGCGCACCACGCGCGTCTGGTCCAGGAAGTAACAGTGGATCTTTGTGCGGTACAGCGCGCCGTCCGTCACCTGCACCTCGATGAAGTGTCCCTGCAACCGTGATTAATGATCAGTTACCGACCGCCTCGCAACGTAAAGAAGGGTGCTTTAGTCGTGAAGCAATTCGTACGATGCGGCTGGAGTGCGTGTTGGCTGGTGTGGAGGCGGTGCCGAGCGAGCGCAGAACGGTGAAAGCGGCGGCGAGGTGTTTGAACGCGTCGGTCTCGGGCCCACCGCCCGCCACGTCGAACAACCGCCGTAGCAGTACCATCGACGCGTACGTCTTGCCCGAGCCCGACACGCCCGAGAGGATGATGGCCTGCGGGTAACCGGTGTCGGCCTGGTGCCGCACGGCGGTGTGCACAAGCCGCGCCAGTTCCGGCCGCTGGGCGCGTGCCGCTGTTAGCGTCAGCGAGTTGCCCGCGTCGGTGTACCCGTTAACCGCCAGTAGGATCGGTCCGATCCAAGTCTACCGACAAAATTAAAAATTTTACGTCGCCTGTGCTGAATTTCGCCATGAGCGTACATCGGAATACTTCAATGCGCAGATGTTGGCAGAATTGCAGCAGTTTGGTTAAAATACGAAGCGAAGTGTTACATTACTCTTTCGATTGTGTCTACAAACAGAGATGCCCTAGAATTACATTTAAGTAGGTATTGCAATCTATTACGGACCCATACTTACAAATGGCATATTTTATTTTTACATTCTATAATAGCTTACACCTTCCGAGCACAGGTAGTGGCGTCGACACACCCGCGCGGACCGCTACAAAAAACTTTAAACAATTTTTATTCCTGCCTCACGGGGCCCAGATAAGCAACGACGGGTAAAGCGCAATCTAGGATCGGCTTTGTTACCCCAACTTTTGTGTGTTCTTTTACTTTTGAGTAACCCGGGTTTTAGTTAGGGGCTTGTTTCTGTCAAATGAAAAGCGTAGGGTATGCATAGACTGACATAAAACTTGTGCTGGTAGAAGCGCGCCTGCAGCGCGCGCACCACGGCGTCCTCGGTGAGCGGACCGCGCAAGTGAATGAGGTCCTCCACGTCCGCGGCGGCGCCGGCCGTCGCGCCCGCCGCCGCGCCGCTCGCCGCGCTGCCGGCGCGCCATCGTGTCTCTGCGCAGCGCGACAAGCCATTGAGTTTCAGCCCACCGGACCCACTCTCCCACGGCCGAGGCGAGCCACGTACCGGGTGGCGGCGGAGGCGCTGCGGATGGCGGCGGCGCGGGGTGCGGCAACAGGGGCGGGGCGGGGTGTGGCGGTGCGGGTTGCTGCGGCGGCGGCTGCGGCGCTCGCGGCGGCACCGCCGGCTGCGGCGTGCCCGGCTTGCCCGCGGCCCCCGCGCTCGCTCCTACGTGTAGGTGGTTTCGGAGCGTCACCAGCTCCGAGCTGAGGCTCAGCAGCCGCCGCTGCAGATGCACCGCCTCGTTCGACGACGATGCGTCTACGACAAAATATTACCGCTGACTCGTGATCTCGACCCGTAGCGGCCTCGTAAAATATAAAATAAATAAGTAAATAAACGTCTGCATACTTGGAAATAAGCGGAATCCTGTATCGAGTTGACGTAAAGAATTGTCGGAACATTTGTTGGGCTGATGCGGCGGCAGATGCTGCAGCCGCATCAGCTCGTTAAAACAAATTTTAAAAATTTATCTGCACCTAAAATATCGGACAATGAAATGTTGTCACAACAAGCCGTGCAAGGGAAACTTAATGGCTTGCGCCGACGACTTACTTTCAGTTCGGACACGTGGTCGAATACTCCTGGCGAAGTCCAGAAGGGATATAATTAGATTTGTAAATGGTTGAATAAAAATGGCCTTACCTTAAACACTGACAAATCAAAACTAATGATCTTTTCCGTCGAAAAATTCGTTCAATCAGACGAACTGAAAATATTTATCATCTAGTATTAAACAATTTTAGTTACCTTGGAAGAACAACTCTGCCAGTGTAAGCCACTTGAACAAGTTACATCAATAAAATAGTTCAGAATACTTATAGATACTTAGATTAGTGACAGATGATCAGTCTAACTTGGTGGACATTGGCCGAGAGCGCAAAGCCCTGGCCCTTGCGGTAAGAGCTAAAATGTTCGGAGGTTTGCACGTGTTGTAGCAAAAAGGTGAAATTAACGCTTTTTAAAGCATACAGTGAAACCTTCTACACGTGTAGTCTTTGGGTGAAATATAGTCAGATGACCCTAAACACTTTGAGCGTTCAATATAATAACGCCTTCATGGCCGAACGGGTACCATGCCGGATTGCCACGCAGAGGTCCCAGGTTCGGTTCCCGGGCCGGGAGAAATATTTGTATGGCCTACATTTATTTATCTCGTGAGTTTGGGTGTAACTTGTGGTTGTCTATGTGTGTGTCCATGGCACCCGCGACTCAGGGTTTCCCTAGTGCGGGGCTATGTTGAGCGTGCGCGTTAATACACGTTTAGGACGTTGATGCACTGTAGCGCATCAGGCATGTTCACAAAGGCTCGCACTGATGACTGTCGCGCCGTTATTAGAAAAAGAGTAGCTTCCCTGTGGCGACGGGTGCGCGGGGGCTCCAACAGAATCCTGGCCATTGTGGGAAATAGTTTGGACTGTCCCATTAAAATTGCTCTTTTATAAAAAAAACTTCACTATGTAGGTATAAATTGATTTTAAAATCATAAATTAGTTTATGTTGCTTTATGCCAATCACTCATCACATACTACTGTGATATGTTTAGAGAGAGCACAGCGGCGCTATTCTACATTTAGGTCATTTCTTTTCCTCTCGTCATCCTTGTACAAAGCATGCAAAGTGTTGTCGGTGCGTCAACTTTGTATATTCAGCATCGAGATACAAAAGCACAAGGGATTTTGTTTTGATCCTAAATTGACAGAAACAATAAAAACTATATTTATTCAAAGAGTTTCATTCTTCTTGGGCCCATTTATATATTAAAAGTATATATAAATGGTATCTACAACTTAACTACAAAGCAGTGTAAAAAGAAGTATCTCATTGTGTACGGGTTGTGCGGGTCAACGTACAACTGATAACTGACAATGCAACTGACAATGTGCAACGTTGCACCCTACATTGGGCACGTGCAAAATGTTAATTATAATTTAATCAAAAATTATAATTTTCAGGACAATAAAGTTACTCCGTGGTATCGGTCGCGTATTATTTCTGCAGCATCTTTGACATCTCCCTGCATCATCTCGCTGATATCACCCGACATATTCTGACATATTACTGTACGAGACAAGCAGCTCGTACAAATTGGACACTAAGGACATTGAGAGTATATTATCCTAAATGTAATAAAATAAATACTATTGCAGTTCTACCTAGATATTTATTACGTTAGTTCTCACTCCATCTTAACCACTCGTGTGCACACACGCATACACAAAAAATACACAATTAATTTAATCTTCTAAAATGAAGAATGTAAGAACTCATTTAAATATTGATCACTTTCCTTTTATAAATGACTAGTGCAATTACATGTTGAAATACCGAACTTCCTAGTTCGACTGTAGTGGCTAGTTCATCTATTTGAGGAGTACATTCCACAGCCTTATTATATTTAAGTTCTTTAGTTTAGTATTGAAATTATACATTTTTAGCTGAGTAAATATTGTCATTATGACTGTCATATACTTACATGAAAATTTATTTGTGGAAACAGATTGTATAGAAGTGGGCCTTTTATGTAGGTCCAATGTGTCCATCCAAACATTACGCATACAAACATATTGAACGTATATTGTACATCTATCGTAATTATTTAATGGAACAATCTGGTCTGCTAGTAATTTTAATGTTTTTATATGTAACATTTGTATGAGACTGTATGTTTTTCTTAAATAAATAAAAAAAAATAAAAAAAATCTACTCACATTCACATCAGCAGACAAAACTTTTTATTTTTATTTTAGATAATATATATGACTGGGCTCTCATGGATCTAATTACCCATTGAATAATTTAAGGGCGGTGGTACTCTTTTGGGTCAATTTTAATGATATGTAATTGATAATGGGAATAAGTCTTCGAGTACAATTAAATTTATAATATAAACGACACAGGAACTTCTTACGGTAGTACTGCTTGTCAACGTATTAACGTTTTGAACGACTTGATTTGAACGTGAACAATTTTGGCTAGTTTTGTGTGTGTGTTTCAGTGTGTGTTGTAAGGGGGGGCTGGCAGTGTGCTCGCTCAACTGTAGCGTTTTTCATCCCCGAAAATCCCGATTCATAAATAAGGAAGGAAAAACTCGAAAACGGCCAAATTCTCAAGGGACAAGTTATTTTTTCTCTCTGTTTAATAAGCGTGCGATAAGAGAGATAGCACTGGTGGCATTCCGGTGCAGTGATGCTAACGAACACGGCACGGAGTGATCACCTGATTATATTATTATAGTAGCGGTGGTGAGAGGCGGGGGCGGGGCGCAGGCGGTGGCAACCGGTCGTCCCGGGCGCAACGGCCGTGTTCCGGCGCGCTACGACCAGACCCTCCGCCTTCCAAATAAAGTTCCATTTTGTGCGGCGAGTCATTGCCGCCGCGTCAAAAACCTTTTTATCGGAGATGCACGACCGAAGGACATGGAGCCTTACGAGACTTCGGCAAGCGAGTGAGAAGCCCGAGAAAGTTATCAAATTTCAACGGCACGGCGTCGCGTGCACCTGCTTCTGCGCCTGTGACCGTACTCAGCAGTATCTTGCGCCGCTGTAGCAGTTTAACGAGACTCGTGAATGCAGAATGGATCTCTTGACATACCTTACTTCCTCTTCACTGTTGGGTACGGGTCTGTTCCTTCTAAAGAGACGTATCGTCTCTACTGAAGAACACATCTGCCCTTCTAGAATCTAGCGACTGTCACTTTGAGATAAAATAACTGCTAAGATGCGGAGTGTGCGCAAGACCAGCGAAGCACGCCATAATACACTGTACATGTATGTCCAGGCGACGCGGCAACTGAGCGATCGATCGCGTGCGACACGCAAGCGCACGCCACGCGTGATGCAACGCTTGTGAGTATATACCTAACGACTCATGCATGGATTTCAGGATATGTACCGCCGCTACCAACAAAATGAAGATACATAACCAGTACCTCCATTCGTCTAGCTTTGCCGTGGCATTGGTACCTTATCAGTTGACTGTAATGGGTAACGTAAGTACTTAAAAAGCGCCAAATCGTGGTCTCTACCTACATCTAAATCGCAAGTCGCGCTGCAAAAAGTTGTGCAACGTTAAAGAAAGAGTGCCCAAAATATGTTTGAGCTTATATTTTTTGCACCCCGCTTCAAAATAACACATGCTTTGTTTCGAATTTTGAAAAAATCGCTGCACTTCACTTTTATAGTGCAGCTGCTGTAGGTATTACAGTGTGGTCGTGGCGCAGGTTGCCCTGCGCTGCAGGCTACATAGCGGATATTGCCAATGCTGGCCGCAGCCCTCTGCGTGTTGCACTGCAAACGCCACACAACATGTCGTGTAACGTAGCTATAGCTCGAGGACGTACATCGACCGCGAGTTTGGTGTCATCTAAAAATAGTATGTACGGGTAATTGTAGTTCTTATAGTGACCGCTCGGAACGTCGAAACGGACGTCCCGCGACGCGTACTATGTCGTCGACCCACCTTGCCACAGGGCACCCGCCGCTTCTTTTGCCCTTCCTCGGCCACCAATCAGTCGATGTCTTGCTCCACCTGTCATCACCTTGCCTTGCTAGGTGTCCCGCCCAGCCCGATTTGAGTTCCACGATTCGAGTTCCAGCATCCTGGACTTTCGTCCATCGTCGGATCTCAACGTTCGGAACTCGATCTACAATGGCTGATGCCGAGCATGGCGCGCACCATGGCCCATCATAGAGTGGTTCCAGCATCCTTTGGAGATCGTCGAAACTTTCTGTAAATAGCACGAGATCGTCCGCGAATCTTAGGTGAGACAAATGGACACCATTGATGTTAATGCCGCAGTTATCCTATTTAAGGGATTTTACGACATCCTCAAGTGGTGCTGTGAATAGTTTTAGGGAAATGGTATCTCCTTGTCTCACTCCTCGTTGGTTTGGAACGGGATTGGTTAAATCGTGAACTCGTACCTGCAGAGTGGTTGAACCATACAGTTCCCGGAGCACATCTACGTAGCGGGAATCGATGTGGCAGCGATGAAGTGCGTGGAACACGGCCCAATGTTCGACACTATCGAAGGCCTTGTCGTAATCGACGAACGGCCATGACAAGGGTCCGGTTGAATTCATGACACTTTTCCATCAGCATATTAATCGTGTGGATATGGTCGATGATTGAGAAGCCGCTCCAAAAGCCAACCTGCTCAATAGGTTGCGCTTCGTCAAGCATATGGGTAAGCCGGATGGTCAAAATCAAAACGTTCATAAATCTGAGAGAGCAAGGTAATCGGCTGATAATTACTATGTTTTGCAATGTGGGCGACATTGCAAAACATAGTAAATAAATAAATAAAAGTAAATTTTTATGAACCATCTCGAGTGAATCGACAAAGTTGAATTATGTGACTATTTTACTATAGTATGTATAATATGGTTTTACTGCTATTTTTCTTCCTAAACTTCGCTCGAAAGTGAAATTATGGGCATCGTCCCTTACTTATTTGTGACACAATTCGATTTGCGGAAAAATAATCTACAATCTTAACTTTATATTGTTTTGTTGGCTGAGGGGTGTGGGACGAGAAGACGCCTACTATGAGCGGACATGTAGTGAACCGCCGAGACGCGGTAGATGACGGACATTATTTTATAATCGCTCGGCTCGGTGGCGGCGCAACGAGGTGCAAAAACGCGCGTTAGCACGTGCTGGCGCGAACGCGTTCCCGCGGTGGAGGATTCACGCGCATAACCAACCGCGTTAATGGCTGTGCGCTGGATTATACCGCGGAGCGAAGTACGTCTAGTAAAAGCATATGTATAGAGCAACATTCCTGGCGCTCGCACTTTCGCTCCAACCAGAAGATGTTTCCTCATCAAGTGACATTATACTAAAATTCGTTAAGAACGAATGAAGGAATGTTTCTGTGTAGCATCCAAGGTGGTGAACTTATAATGCAACACAAATTTGCAATAGCTACAAGAAGAAAAATTAAAAAATGTATTGACTCGAGACAATTGCATTTTATCTTCACATTACGTGTCATTAAATGCGAGGAGCAATTTAAGATGAAGTTTAACGACGTTGTTAGTACGTTGTTGAGTCATACTATGCTTTACAATAAAATTGTATGACAGACATTAATTGTAAGTATATTTTTTCTTTACTTTTCTGTATCTGTATAGAGGTAGTGGAAGAGAAGGTAAAGAAAAGGCAGGGGCTAGAAAGGAAACAATATACAATATACAGCACAACGAAAACTATAGGTACTTAGATTACAAAAGGAACCAATTTGTGAGCGCTATGAGATTCATTATATCATATATATTTAGATAGGTATGGTGCGTATGTGATAATAATGCTGCATACTAATATTATCGAATAATAATCATTATAATAATTTATATTTTGGGCCGTGGGAGAGGCGAGGGTCTAAAATAGATAAATAATAATATAATAATTTACTTTATTTCGTACAAATCCATATTGTGCTATATATTCACAAACGGTAAACTACATTTCGAACAATCTAAGGACAGTTCTAACACACTTGACACGTACAGCTACCCATTGACATACTATTGGCCCATCGTCTCTCTCGGCCACCGTCTGAGGGAGGCCATGGCGCTGCCACGCACCCTACGCATCAGAGACGCTCGCCTCAGCGAACATTCCAAATGCGCTGCGGCAACCCTGATAGCATTCTAAGAGCATCATTACATTGGAAGTGCAGAGCAGCGCGTGTAAAAGGATTGGCAAAACGCTTTAAAAAGCGTGAGCTTTACGGTTCTAGTACCTACACCGCGCGCAAACCTGCGGGCCAACATATTGCACTTTAGAGCCAATGCCCTGCGCTCTCTGTCAATGTCATCGGAAAGATTCTCCGTCGATTAGTGGCCCTAGGTACTTGAAGTCAAAGTGAAATAAATCATTTTATTCCATACATTGACTTACAATATTCCATAGGTAAATTTTTGACACTTGAAAACGTACTTTTTAAGCTACTGATCGTTCACCGCGCTGGCCTACCTGAGATGAACGAGCAAGAAACCCTAAGGATTGCTCGTTACAAATAAACTTGAGTGCTATATAATACACTTTGTATCATAATTGTGTGGGATCTAGACTCATTATTTATTTATTTATTTTTCAGGGATAACAAACAATTGTACATGAAATGTTTACAATCAGAGTTAAATATTTCTAACATAGGTACACGTACAATCAACAGCATTATCCACAAGTTACTATGTTGTCTACTATGTTGTCTACTAAGTTACTATGTTGTTACTATGTTGTCAAGTGACTTATGTTGCCTTTCCGTACATCTTTAGCTAACACATGGGTATTCTTCAATTTTGTAATATTACTTTTCAATGAAAATTCTTTTGATGTAAGTTTTCAACTTAGAAAATGATTATCTTCTTATAAATAAAAATATTGAAATGCAAGACTCTACGTATTGGCGCCGCGCGCCGCATAGTTTGATACGACCTGACCGAGGGCGGTGTGGGCAGCGACTACACGCTATAAATCGGTTTCGGTGATTATTATAACTACTTGTTGTCCCAAGCCAGTTTGTAAACTCATAGTAGGCACGTGCGTATTGCGTACAATGGATCCAGATTCTGTTAATAACACATGTCGGCGTGTGAAATGGTGCCAAATTTTCAGAATGACTTGACTCTCAAACGTGATTTCAATGCGATTATCGGTTCATAGGTTCGCATGTTATATGGTTATAGAGACATGTGGCGATGACAGAGTCGACGCCAGGCGCAGCGCAGCAAAAAGCGGCGCGTGCGCAGGCCGCGGTAATTGACTCGACGCGCGCAGAATTGCATTGCGATTGCGACCGCATCTCTTGGAGGCGCCGCGCGCGGCGGCGGCGGTCCTTTGCCTAGTGCCTATTTTTTGTTATAGGTAAAATATGTGGTAAAATGCTTTGATTTACTCAAATCCATGTTCTGTTCAGTTTTATCAATTACTTTTGGATATTTAGCTCAGGTAAAAATATCAAGAAATAGCACATGACGCGATGCTTTTTATCTATAGGGTAGGAACAATTATAAGTCGTTTGGACTCAATTTATATATAAAATACATAAAATGTTACGCAAATTTAGTGGTAGAGTCAAACCATCAAGGTATGTTCTTTTCCCGCCCGCGCCCCACCCACGTCCCGCGCGTGTCTATTAGGCGCCGTTAGTCGCCCGCGCCCGCACAGCCTCCACGGGCTTTGCATAACCTCTCCACCTCCCATGGCGTCCCATCCTCGACTCACCGCAGTCCCCACCGCGCACCGTGGCTTAATTACCCCAGGAAACTCCCGATTGAGAAACATCTCAGCATATACTACATACTAAAATACATTTGGCCGCATCCTTAAGTGACGTTTCGCGAAAATGTAGAATGCCAATTAAATCTAAATGTAATTATTAAAAGTAACTATAAAGTTATAGTTACTTTTACTTAACCTACTGTTTACTTCTTCGCACCGTATTTGGGTAAACAAGGGGACACAAAGCTTTTGTTATGCGCGACGATGGTACAGGTGCTCTAGCAAAGGTAGCGTGAGTTCGCACCGGGAAGTGCAACTCGGTAACAAGTCTAGATACATGTTTGTCAACACAGGATCGAGGCGAGAAGTGGATCCACAACAATGCAATGGCCGCGCAGAAATAAATGTAAACTAAAAACTGGTTCGCTTTTAACGAACAAACTTAAAATGAGTCACCACGGCGGCGATCAGCGCTACGACCGCAACCGCCACCGCCGTGGCTCCTGCGGGCCGGATCTTCCTAGAGTTCACTCCACATTCACAGACCAAAAATGCGGAGCTTTCGTCGGTCGGATACGAAAAAAGTAATAATCATCACAATCCCGTCCCCGCGCGACGACTGCGAGCGGCGAGCGCGGGGCGGGGTGGGGCGCGGACGGTGCTTGCTCACCTTGCAACTTCTTCTCCGTCTCCCAAAACTTCTGCAGCTCGGTGAAGTATTTGTCGAGGATGAACACCTTGGAGAGGCCGAGCGTGGCCATGGCGGGCGGCACGCAAGCATCACACTCTGCGGCGGCGCCGCTCACTCGCGGCGACCGATCGCGCGCTACGCCGACCGAGTACTGCCGCCGTGCCGCCGCCCGCGCCGCTTCGCCCCGCGCAGCCCCCGACCCTCCGCATCTGCCTACTTACAGGCCGTGGAACCTTCAACTGTGTTCCTTGTTAGTCTTTTAGGCGGGCGACCCTTTTACAGTCGCGGCAGCATCTATCGTTTGGGTGCCTCTACATTTTAGCTTTAAAGAATGCGGCGTGGTGCGAGACCAGTGAGCGGAATGCGTCATCGCCGCTGAAGTGACACTCGGGTGCAAACTAGCCGACTCTGCACACCCAAGCGACTAGTCGAGGAATATAACTTGCACGCCACTTCCTCCAACGAGTTATAAGGGAATGGTATCAGTTTTCGTTGCAGAGTAGGCCAAAAGTTTAGGTGATGCAGGTGAGCGGCGGCTGCGGGCGAGGGCGAGGGGCGCGGGTGCGAAACTGGTTTATTTGTTTGTAAGCTCACGCCGAAAGCTGCGCGCGCGCCGTTCGCTCCACGAGCCGACCTCGTTGCTGCTCCACGATCCTTATAAGATTCTAACATTAACCAACCGACTCAAATGATTTCTAGCCATTGATGAGGTCCGTTCCTATTATTTGGTGAGGTGCACACGAGGCTGTATTGTATCAGCGATATCTATTGACGGGTTTCATTGGTATTGACAGCTTTGTACGTTAACGTCAATAGCCAGCGGAGCCTGCAAGTCTGTGAGCGCGACTGGTGCGGCCTGCGGGCGCAGGTTCTGGCGACGACACAGCGGCGGGCGAGCCAGGGGCGAACGCCAGTGCGCAACACCGTTATTTAATATAACAAGTCTCTCTCGTGTCGCGACTCATCTCGAGCGTTAGCCGCCAACTTTTATACCTGTACACGACACGTGTCATTGCACTTAGATATTGAAATATTAATTATATTGTAAACAAACTCATCTACACCTTACTCAAAAAAGAGAAAAATATTACGAATTGATATTTTTACCAAGTTACGACGACGTAGGCAGTGCGTTGATGTCTAATGTATGATACCTTTGTTCGTAGCGTCAGCAGCCACGCCCGTACGTGTAGCTAAACCCGTCTCGATGATACCGCTCGTTCGGACATACAAGTTAGTTATCTAAATAGTAAGCAGGTATTTTATTTATTTAGGTAGACATTGCTTAGTGGTTTCTTGCGACCGTTTCAGGACTGCATTCAGTCATGGATTGCATCGCGAACTTAACATCTTTGGTTTAAATAAATTTGAATGTAAAAAGAAGTTGGCAAATTGGTTGCAAAAGTAAAATTATGAGGATACTGAAGTTATACTTCATCCAATAATGTGACTCAAGGTTTTGCTGATCTGTAGGATTACCATATCTTTACACGTGCATATACACGCGCACGCAGGCACATACAAGCACACATACGCACACATACGCGCGCACACACACACCCAAGCGCACACACACTCATTTTAAATTTAAGTTTTACTTTCTGTTTAAAAGTACAATTTATAATTAAATTCATCTATCTAAACTTCAATAGTGTATAACTCTTTTTATATTTAATTAAATTTTATATTTTTCATATTTTGTTTCTCTCTTGCAATGTTTAATATTTTTCTTAGTAATGCCATAATATGGTATGTATTATTCCCACGGGTGAGGGACTGGTGACTTGCAGTACTTACAGTTGTTAATCCTTTAACAGGCACCAGGTCCTACAAAAGCTGTTAATGTTTCTTAAATTACTGAGAACCTTCTGAACGTGCTTTTGTGGAGATTTCTCCACAAAAGCACTATTATTATTACATATTATTATTATTATTAGGTATATACCGTAAATGTCCATAGTACTAGCGCCCACTACGTTTCATTCAGTAATCAACAAAGTTTAGAAACAGCTATAGGTTCGTTGGGGATTTTATTCGAGATAATGCTGAGGTATATCTTATTAGATTTATGAAAAGAAAGAACGAGTTCCTTGATGCTGTACTTTGTGAAGGGATTTCGTTCCGGGTGTACTCGAGTGCAAAGATCTAATCGTGGAATCGAGTGCGCCATCTACCGGCAGTGGTGGTCAGCGCCGCACCGCGCGTACAAGCCTTCACTGCCGTATGCGCAATGTGCTCAGCAGGGAGGAGGCTCTGCAACGCCAGACGCGGCCACCGTGTGCCGCTAGATGCCGCTTCATTACTGTCCTTCCTTCCTCGCCATGTGTAAACGCAATGTGTAACACATTTTTATTGGCTTAAAAAACGAATGAAATGAAAATTAACCCGGTCTCATATTAAGGGGTTCAATATATTTGCAGGTATTAATTATGCGACGTCAAGTAGCGCTTTCGTAATACACGTACTTAAAAAAAAGACGGCCGCAACGGTTACTATGAGTCGTATGTAAGGATTATAATTATGTAATATGTCGGGAGGCTTATGGGTATAAGCCTCCCGAGCAGTGGATGAAATCAAGCTGTGGGTGATGATGATGATGATGAATAGGTCAAAAGTTAAGAATTGTCTGTATGGACAACAGCATATCAGACTTCACATTTTTGTTCGAAAATCGCCTCCAGTGCAACGGAACAAGATACGTTAATATGTAGCTTGATATGCTGTTGACTATACCATATAAGTAATTTATGAAGCTTTCAAATATCAGTGTCAAAAAGTCACCATCAACAGGCACCATCTGCTTACAGGAAGTTATAGGCCTGTGTTCAAGCTTTTTTTTATTAAAAATAAAAGCGCATTTGACCTCCATGTCACCTGATGGAAAATAATGATGAGGTCGACGATGTAGCATCCCCACCTAAATAATGCCTAATGACTCTCGCCGGGAGGGGGAAGGCGGAACCAAATTATGCAATTCCATCGCACACTCTCCGTGATATATCCTTTTTTTTTTTTTTTTTTGACGGGGTGGAAATCTTTAAGGATACCCCTGAGCCCAGGGAGACTCGGGGGTTATGTGGGGACTCTCCCTCCAGACTGGAGGGCCTACCCCACTAAAACCCCCCCGGGTTTCCCTCTCGCCGGTTGAGTCGGCGCCGTGGGATCAGTGAACATTCACCACGACGCCGCCCGGCCGCCCTAGCTTACGCCAGGGCTCCCGCGCCAACGGAGGGGCGGGTCGGAGGACAACCGAGACGAGTGAGGCCGTGCAATGCAGGCTCCGGAGTCCCGGTCCAGAGCCCGCTGGCCTCACTAGGGGATCAGGCGAGCAGGGAACTGCCTTCGCCTTCTTCCCGTACGTCTGCGCCGGAGCGGGTGCGCGTCCGGCGCGTCCTCGCGCACCCGTTCCGCGGCCTCCTTTTGCGACATAACCTCTGCGCAAAAGGAGACCTCCGCCAGGACCTCGGCTTCGAGGTCCCACGGCGGAGTACCGGCGAGGACGCATGCGGCAGCGCAGGCCACCATCATGTACGCCCTGCACATTCGCAGGGCGACCACCCTCTGGGGCCTCCTCAGCAGGGACTTCGTCGCCGCTGATAAGGCCCCACTCCAAATGGGAGCCCCGTATAAGGCCATACTCCGGGTCACCCCGGCGTATAGCCTTCTGCATGGGGCTCCCAGCCTCCCGAGGTTGGGCAGGAGCCTGTCCAACGCCGATGCGGCGCCCACTATTCGGGGAGCAAGTTGCCGGAAATGCTCCCCGATCCGTGATATATCCTGTAGAATATCGATCGGCTCTGCAGTTTCGCCTCAACTGATTCCAAGTCACTTATAAGACTTTTGGCACGCTTGTCGATTGAATCCAAGGCTAGTTGATATTTAGCAGAGCCATCCCTTAAGTGACAGCAGTACTCTATACACGACCAGAGTTGTTCTTGGTACAGCTGAAGCAACTGTCCCGGTGTGAAGTATCGCCTCACCTTGGAAAGGATGTCAAGCTTCCTGGCTGCATTTTTGGCCATGGATTCAATGTATCTGCCGAAGTTCAGCTTGGACGACAGGTCCATTCCAAGTAGCTGGAGACGGTCGGCTATCGGTATGGCTATATCACGACAAATCGGAGTCAGGTGAAAGTGACTCCGTTTTGTAGAGAATAGATATGCCTTCGTTTTGGTAGCATTAAATTTGACAAGATTGGCGTCGCCCCAATCGGACTGTCTTAAGTGTCAAATTCAAGCTTGCCGGTCGTCGCAAACAATGACTGATAAGTGTGGAAAAATTTAATGTGTAATAAAATAAAATGCAAATGATTTATAGAGACGTGAGTTTCAATAATTTGCATGTCACTTTTGAAAGTAAGTAAATGTATAATGTAGGTTTATACTTTTCTAAAAAAAGTACTGCAAGAAGAGTCACTTTCTCATACAAGATTCGCAGTGTGAAGATGATTAGAGATGATGCCGTTGTATCTTAGAAACGGCTTTCTATCAAGTGACAATGATGGACGTGTTGCGTTGCCACGAGACCGTCGTCATCTCCGCCCAAAATAATAAAAAATCTGGCACATTAGGAAAGGACTACTACAATCTATTTTTTGTAATTGATGTTTAAAACCAACGAACTTGTGTGAGAATGTTATGAGCAATTTTTGGTAAGAAATCTTTAAAGATGTACAAATAATTAATATTTTTATATCGTAGAACATCACTCCGCATAGTTTTGCATTACCTTGGTGAAAATCGTGTTTTTGCTGTCTGGCGCGGCAAATCAAATCTTGACATATGGCAATGTTGCTATTCATGTAGGCACATTTCAACGCCATGCACTCTAGGTACTATGTAATCATTGGTACCGAATGGATTGCCAATACAAAATGTGGGATGCTATCTTTACTGACCCGAATGATTAGTGGCGACGACGCCTTCGTGAATAGTTTTCATCTACGATAGATCGCTGAGCTGCGGCATGGCTTCTGCACTAGTTGCAACCGACGACGCGCTGCGAGTTCGCGCACATTCACAATATTATTGATGATTCACAATATGATTGTTCAGTATGGTAGGTACACTACAAGTAACAACGACACACGAGCAGACACGCACTCTTTTGGCTTTGATTGGGATTTGGTGGCGAAATTAATGAGAAAAAAATACATATTACCATAATATTCGCTATTCTAGCTAGAAGGACCGGTATTCAATTAAAATTATAAGTTTGATTGTTAACTCATGTGAAACTAGACTTCTAAGCAAATATTCATGAGAGCGTTTTTGATTTATTTTTACTTATCCAATCCAGTACAACAGTGAAAAATGGTCTAATTGACCGCAGGGACGCGTTCATGACTAATGTACGAGGCGACAACGTTTCAACGACGTTTGTCTCCACTCGCTGCGCATTTGGTGGCTTCTGATTACAAAGATGTAACTTGTGTCTACAATACCTATTATGTTGCTTTCATTTAATAAGTGTTTTAAAGACGACTACGCGCAACTCACTCAATGACTCCCGTATGTAGGTACCTAATGTATGTAAACCATCTAGTCGCTCAGTAATCTTTTTCGTTTTTCGTTTCTTCTTAATTTGAGTTACTTTTTCTGGGTACAGCAATGGTTTGTTCATGTTAACAACACTAGTGCGTGTAAGCGCCTCGCGGCGCGCGAGC